TTTTCTGAAGAAGGGTCTAGGCCCGAAACGTGAGCCTTCCTGCTCCTCTGATGCTGCTTGGCCTGATGTGTTCATCCAGCTCTACACCATGTTATCTCCATACAATACCACTCTGTACCAAAGCATTTGACCCCTTTTATTAATACTACTGGGACTCCGATCACCGTCTTAACAGGCAGTTTCAAATACGTTTAATTACTTAATTGGCTGATTTCCTTTGCTGTTCAGCAGAAAACCTGATTTGCCTGATTAGACCCCAAGCCTCTAACTGTCCTTAGAGTTACAATAGTATCCTTAAGTAAAATGCTAAATTGCAGGATGCATGAAGTCATAAGTTTTATGTATGATTAACCCATAGCATTTAAAACTCTTACACTGCTTTCATCAAACTCGCAGGGTTACCTCTCTTTACCTGACCATTTCTGTAACCTAAGAATTATATTTGTAATATGGTGTGTACGATGAACAGAAAATAATAATGCCTTTTAAGTATTTAATATTGATTTTAAAAAGCAAGTTATTTAGACTTCTGGAGCAAGCAGTCATATGATTATATTCTTTTTCAGGCAGCTATTCCAAGTAGAAGGGGTTAAAAGTGTGTTTTTTGGCCCTGATTTCGTAACAATAAACAAGGTGAGCATCACTGTCACCCTTATTATTTTGTTTTGCTTGTTATGTAAAATATGAACATAGTGCTGCAGGGTTAATTTAATTAAAGTATTAAATATTCACAGGAAAGTGAAGTGGAATGGAACGTACTTACACCTAAAGTTTCAGCAGTCCTTGTAGATTTCTTTGCCAGCAGTCTTCCGTTAATAACAGATGGACCACAATCTGATTCTGGTAAGGATTTGCCTTTGTGCTTTTTAGAAGCTTGGATTAGAACTGTGAACCGTACAGAACATACAGAGACGATTAGTCCATTATTGTAGTGATCTTGCCTAAACTCCTTGTGCGTCAAGATATAATTTATTAAATAATAACAGCTAGTTACAGCGTAAATTGATACGTTATAGAGTCTTCCAAGAGGACTGGATATTCACAGGTCCACATGGCATCATCATAATGGGTCATGATGTGGAGGTGTTGGTGTTGGACTGGGACGGACAAAGTCAGAAGTCAAACGACACCAGGTTATAGTCCAACAGGTTCGTTTGAAATCATAAGCTCTTGCTCAGAAAGTTTGTGATTTCAAATAAACCTGTCAGACTATAACTTGGCATCGTCTGCCTTCATCACAATGGATGGTCTACGTTGGGCTCCTCAGTATTGGTCTGTTCAGACCACTCCCAATGCTCAGCAATAACCTGCTTACTGATACTCCTTTTGGGTTCTGCCACAGCTACTCAGCTCCTGGCCTCATTGCAGCTGAACTTCAGACAGGAAGTAAGAGTGATTGCTGTTGTCATTAAGGCTGCATTTGTCCAAGTGGCATCAAGTAGCACAGGCAAGCCTGGAATCAGTGTGAATTGCGGGGGAGCTCTCCATTGGTTGGAGACATACCTAGTGCAAAAGTAGGTGCAACTGGAAATAGCACAGTACTAAAATCAGCAGGGGCAGGAAATATTTGTCTGTCTATTTGTGGCCTGTGGTCTATATCAATCTTATACAGATATACTTTTCCATTGAAAATAATTTCCAGTGAAAATTTACTTCTGATGGCTAAGATTGATACCTCTAGGAAGGGTCACTCGACCTAAAACGTTAACTCTGATTTCTCTCCACAGATGCTGCCAGACAGCCTGAGCTTTTCCAGCAATTTCTTTTTTTGACATCAGTAGAGATCATTGTAAGAAATGTTGATTTTTGTTGGAAATGGGAAGAGGTCTATTTGTATGATATTTTATCTTTTTTAAACTTTTTTTTAATCATTTAGTTCCTTCAGAGGAAAGCGAGGAGGATGATGAAGTGGTTGCAATGATTAAGGAACTACTAGATACAAGAATAAGGTCATTGATCACTTATGTATGCTTTTTCTATTTGTTCTTCTGATGTGATTGGGGCACCATTTGTTGTCCATCTCCATTTGCCCTGAGAAGGTGATGGTGGATCTTCTTGAACGACTACGATGATAGCACAGCCACTATGGTATTGGGCAAAAAAATTATGGAATATTGACCCAGGGACAGTGAATGATTAATAGTAAGTGACCAAGTTGTTAATTGTTGGTTAGTGGAAGGCATGGATGGCAGACTAGCCTGCCCTTGTCTCTGACCCCTCTCTCCGCAACCCCTATCCTGCAAGAAGAAAAACTAGCTTCTCATGTCTGGATCCCCTGAGAAATGGACCTAGACTGGGAGGCTTTAGGACCCAGATACTGCTGGCCACCGATTGGCTGGCAGCTTCTGCTGGCCCAGGTTGCCAGTGACAAGGTCTGTAATAGGATGAGATACTTGACTCCCACCTATCCGCTCCTTCCATCTCACTGACCAATCCCGATACTACCTACCTTGCCCAGCCCAAGATCCCCTCTCTCTATTTATTTCAGAGCCCCCTTTTCCCTCCCCCATTTCTGAAGCAGGGTCCCGACTCAAAACAGCAGCTTTCCTGCTCCTCTGATGCTGCCTGGCCTGCTGTGTTCCTCCAGCTCCACACTGTGTTATCTGTACTAGGATGAGGTACTTGTCCTTGCTCACCTATCAGCTTTCAATGAGGTGATTGGTAGGTGATCTGGTGAGTTATTGCACCAGTGGTAGCAGCATGTTAGCCACCACTTAATATCCTTGCCCCATACTTGTTAAATGAAAAAGGAGAAAAAAAGCTCATACAGTGAAAACTAATTTGAGGATTAGACATTATTTAGATGTACGAGAGAAAAGGACCTAAGAATCACTTTGGACTAGTTCCTGGAGAATAGGTCTACTTTGGAGGCATTGTAAAGCACAGCTGAGGAAGGAGAATTTCCATTGTTTTAAATGTCAAATGTTTAATCGTGTCTGTAGTTTAAAATGAAAGTTGCCTGTTGAATAGTGTTTAGTCAAAGTTGATTTTAGTTAGTGTGTTACAGGAAAAGTCTTAATACTTGAATTTTCGTTGTGCAACCATTTCAGCCATTCACTGGAAAGTTGAATTTGTCTTAAAATGTTATCAGTATTTACGAGATTGTCACAAATGGTATCAATAAAAAAAAATCTGAGATGCTGTCTCTATTTCAAATTTGCAGGCCTACTGTGCAGGAGGATGGAGGAGATGTCATTTTTAAGGGTTTTGAAAATGGTGTCGTAAAGCTGAAATTGTCAGGTTCTTGCACTGGTTGCCCTAGTTCAGTTATTACGTTGAAGAGTGGAATCCAAAATATGCTACAGTTTTACATTCCTGAAGTTGATGAAGTAGTACAGGTAAGTTGTTAATTGATTTGCTGATGACATTCCTTCAGAATGTCAAGTTGATAGGCTTGTACTTTGGATGGGATTGGTGCATTGCGCCAAATTATTTCTATAGAAATATTGTTTTTCTAACAATTACATAAAGAAAATTCATTCGATTAAAGAACATCGGAACATAAGCACTCAAAATACCAGGATGCCAAGTGTTCATTTTAAAAATTTGCAAAGGTGGGTTATTATTGTGCCTGAATACACTATGGTTTTAACACAGGGATTTTGTGTTGAAGTACACAAGTCTCTGTAAGGGAATGTAATGAAATAGGTTTGAGTAGTCTCAACCCATTTTGGAATTCAGTACTCTAATTTGTTAGTACCTCCATTGTTACCAAGTTGATTAGAGTGGCCATTTTATGAAATTGACGTGACACTCAGATGTAATGCAGAGACAGCTTTTCCTGAGAGATGCTGTAACGTGAACACCTTTTTAGGGAGAGTAAAGGAAGCTTTACTCTGTAGCTGCTCTTATAATTTATTCATCATCATTGATACTGAGTGCTCAAAATGACAGAGTATCTCTTTCCTAAGCATTTCTCTCATCAGCTCCAGATCTTCTTTTAAGGGTGGTATTGGGCCCCTTTTGACACATAAGTTGCATCATAACTTACTGGTCTAGTTTCTGCCTCAAAATGAAGATTCAATTTGAAGTAAAGAGTATTCTCTATTATATCAATCTGAAGCTTCTAGTCTTATAAAATCTGGTGCCTATGTGAAACATGATGTAAAATTTGTAAATTACTGAGAGTTCTTAAAGCTACTTTGTTACACACCCCCTACCCTATCCCTGCGTTTCCCACCCTAGACACTATGGGCAATTTAGTATGGCCATTCCACCTAACCTGCACGTCTTTGGACTGTGGGAGGAAACTGGAGCACCCAGAGGAAACCCACGCAAACACAGGGAGAATGTGCAGACTTCACACAGACAGTCCCCTGAGGCTAAAATTGAACCCAGGTCCCTGATGCTGAGGCAGCAGTGCTAACCACTGAGCCACCTTTGTTTTTAAGATTCCCTAGTGTGGAAACAGGCCATTTGGCCCATTAAGTCCACACTGACTCTCCAAAGAGCATCTCACCCAGACCACACCCCCACCCTATCCCTGCATTTCCCATGGCTAATCCACCTGACTACACATCCCTGGACTATGGGCAATTTGGCATGGCCAGTCTACCTAAACTGTGCATCTTTGGACTGTGGGAGGAAACTGGAGCACCCAGCAGAAACCGATGCAGACACATGGAGAACATGCAAGCTCCACACAGACAGTCACCCAAGGCTGGAATCAAACCCAAGTCCCTGCGTGCTGTGAGGCAGCAGTGCTAGCCACTGTGCCACCCCTATTGCTTTCATGAATTTAAATATTGGATGATTTGGGGGTTTTGTGTCCAACCAGTCACGTGCAGTATATTCAGCAGGTTTCAGCTTTATAATTCAATACGTAACTTATTCATTCAAAAATTGAATTTGGCCCCTAACCTGTTACTTGATGTTTGCTGCATCCAGTTAATGATTGTCAGTTTCCTCCATTATCTCAATTTACTTTCACCCTGCTGTTTCCCCCTGGATTGCTCCAAATTGTGCTTTGTAGCCTGGCCTTTCCATTTATTTTGCTTACTACTGCCAGCTTGTAATTTTGTTCTCTGACAATAATGTGTATAATCTGCTGCAGGGCTTTCCAAATGATTTCAGTTGAATATTTGAAAATGAATGTGACTCCAGATCCCAGTCAAATCAAAGCAACAATAAAGCAGCATAATAATGTTCGCTATATAATTATTAAAGTTTGCAGATCAAGGTACAATCCGTCCTAAAAATATGAAAATATCTGTTTTTAACGTGCTTTGTAAAATTGTTATTATTTAATGGACTCATGTAAGTTTCAGCCAAACTTTCCTTACTCACCACAGAAGATTCAATGAAACTCCTCTTCCTCCTCCTCCTTCACCCCCACTATTTCCAACACAAACAAAGATGTGCAGAAACTTACACACTGTAACCATGTCATTTTCCCTTCCCCCCACACACACACGGTAAACAGCCCCTCCCTGCTATGCCAATCAAGTACAGTAATCAACCCCTCCTTTTCCCTCTCTCACACATGCACACACATCAATCATCTTCTCTCTGCAAGCGCACACACTGCACAAGCCTTGCGTCCTGTACAGGATCCAGCTCCCGATGCCTGCAAAGCAAACTTGCTAGCCTGGGCCAAAGAGCCTTTTTAGAAAATACGAACAAGGAGCAGAAGGGCGGTACTGTGACTCAGCGGTTAGCGCTGCTCCCTTACAATACCAGGGACCCAGGTTCAATTCTACCCTCTAGCGAGTGTCTGTTTGGAGTTTGCACGTTGTCCCCATGTCTGTGTAGATTTCCTCCAGGTGCTCCGGTTTCCTCCCAAAGTCCAAAGATGTGCAGGTTGGGTGGATTGGCCATGCTAAATTGCCCGTAGTATCTAGGGATGTGTAGGTTAGGTGGATTAGCCATGGGAAATGCAGGGTGACAGGGATAGGGTGGGGATGGTGAGTCTGAGTGGGATGCTGTTTGGAGAGTCAATACAGCAGAAGAGGAAGCCAACAGTCACTTCTTAGCTCAGTTGCTGGACTTTTCCATTCTTTTCCCCTGCACTCTGGACATACCAGTCAGTCACTTACCTTTGTCTCACTGCACCAAGTCAGTACACAGACCTTGCAGGCCTGCATAGCTCTCACTAAAGTTAACAAGCACTTTGGGCTCATTGTCCCTCCTTTTGCTGTTTAGTAGCTTCAATTGACTAGGTCATGGCTGTCCCACCAGACCATCCAGGCTGGGCAGCTTCCTCTCCCAAGTTACCATGGCCACCTTGGAAGAGAGGGAGTTCTCGGGCTCAAAAACCATCCATGCAGTCTGTTTGGGACTGTGACCTACTGTTTGGGAACTGTTGCAGGACTGAAAATCATGCCAACTTGCAGCACTAATCCATTGTTCAGGGAAAACTAGTTTCTTCTGAAAGAAAATATTAAAAAGCAAAATACCACATGCTGGATCTGAAATGAAAACCAAAGCGTTGGAGAAACTCAGTAGGTCTGGCAGCATCTGTGCAGAGAGAAACAGCACAGCAACCTAATTCTGACTATCCACAGCTATGTTTAACATCTATTTTCCAACAAGATTCCTTTTTAACTACTATTAGCACTTCCTTTGTCTTTTACTCTGGACCCATTCACTTCTCCCTTCCCCTTTTGTTAACAACATAAACACCATCATTTTCCATCCCCGTCTAGTTTTGAAGAACAGATGCATGGAATTCAAAATGTTAACTCTTTCTATATCCACGAATGCTGTCAGACCTGCTAAGTTTCTCCAGCACTTTATGTTCTTATTAAGAACGAAAATTCATACATGCTACTGTTTTCAACTCTAAGCCTTGCTTTCATATTCATGACCATGTTTTCTTGTTATTAAGGTAGCTTTATTCCTCAATCTTAAAAATATTGCCAGGTCTCTTCCAATATTGTCTACTTACACGTTGATCATTTTCATAGTCCTCTTTTCCCAACTGTGAAGTTGAGGTTAATAGTCTTCAAAGCCTAGTTTGTCCTGCTGTAAAACAAATTTTGCATACTTTGTGTGATGAATAAATTGATCAACAATGGCTTATAAAACGTATGTTTCATTAACCATTATTTTTATGGAAACTTGACATTTTTGTTTCCAGATTAAACTTGTTGATATAAGGAACAATTTAGACCTTCATGGATGGTTTTGGTACCCATTCCTTTGATTTTTTTTTTACAACAGGTCCAAGATGAAATAGATGAAGCCAACATTAAAGCATTTGAAGAATTAGAGAAAAAGCTAAAAGATATGTAAATTCATTACCTGAAGTTTTCAAGATTGAAGACTGTGAATTTATCAAAATTTCTCCTGTGATGACAATTAGATTTGATTGTGTCGCTGAGCCCCAATCATTGTTTTTAAGTGTAATGCATATTATAGGAAATATTGACAGTGTTGAATTGGTTGCTTTTCTGTTTCTTTCTGTTGTTTCGCATCTCCTTTTTTCTAACTTTTTTGCAGCTCATCTAACATCTGAGTGGAAGAAGATAGGCAAATTCCACTCCTGTACCAGCTTGTGAGATCAATGCTGTTCCCTGGTTGCACCTTGATATATTTTGTTATGAAGGGAACAAAGCATTGTAATATATTTTTCCCCCAAATCTTCTGTGAGATGAGGTGGTGTTAGCCCTGATCTGTTTTGGGTCATTCACGTGCATCATGACTAATCTTTGGATCCAGTGCTGTTCAGTGTTTGATAGCATATGCACCAAAGTCACAGCGATATGAGCTGAATATTCGGATAATTATTTGACCACTCAGTTCCATGCTCTGGAATTTGTTATTATCCTTATGCACTGTCTACAGAATATTTGACATTTTCCTTGTTAGCCCCTGAACCCAACATAGCAAAGAAGTCTGAACTACAAAGCTCAAAATATTGTGGTTACCTGTCAGCATGGTACACCAGTATTTTGGGGAATAAGACATTGGCTTCCCCATCAAAAAGAAAATATGTTAAGCACCATGTAAAATGAGGGAGCAAGTGCCATGGAAGGAAGACATATAAAATGTAGTCCTACTGGCATTGTGTACATGTAAAGTAAATACAATACTTATTTTTTGATGTATGGAAAATTTATTTCTATAAAAGGCTGAAGGGCAAGAATGTTTAATGTAAATAAGTTAAAGAAAATTAGCAATTTGCAGTGTTTAATAAAATTAATTTTTGGACACTAAGCTCTTTACACTTAAATGTCTGCTGTACATTTTTGGCTGTACACTAAAAATGTGCAGAAGGAGTAAACCATTAAGTATATTTGTTACAGTCCAACTAATAGTTTACATTTAAAATTATTCTGCTTTTATTACAAAGAAACCTTCTGGCTAAATTTCCTTTTAATCGATTTGTGTTTAGTGTTTTTCTTTTCAGTTTAGTTCAACAAACTCCATCTTGCTGTTACATATTTTTCTAGGTTATAAGTACAGCTTTTTCAGGATAGAACTTAATAGCGCAACAGCCTGTGAAAAGTAAATCCAGTTTGACAGGTTTGGCGGTGCTTCAAAACAATTATTTTAACTTCATTGAATTGAAATTAAAGATCACTTGAACTGGAGCAAATGTTCAATGCTGATAGCAGTGTTGAAATTTTAAAGTCTTCACAATGCTGAAACTACTATTGACTGTGCAATACCTTGTTTTCTTACATTGTAAGTAGTGGCAAAGCTTGGAAGTAAAAGTTGTAAAAAAAAAAGTATATTGTTAAAGTTGAAATAAATGAGTTGCAGCTACAATACGATTGAGTTTTATTTAAAGGTGACATTACTTCCATCACTGTCAGCAACTGGAGATGGCTTCATGGACTGTGTTGATAATTTCAATGTTGTGTAAAAACAATTCATAGGATGTGGGTATTGCTGGTCTGGTCAGGTCAGGTACTGTTGCCCACCTTGAATTGAGGACCCTCCTAGGCTAGATTATAGGACAGTTAAGAGTCAGCCACATTATTGTGGATCTGGAATCTGGAAGCATTCATGGTAGGAATATGAATCCTTTGACCTACAGCCTGGTTCTCGAGATTACTAGGCCACTGATATTACCAGTACACTACCCTGTGTTCATTCACTAGACTTGGCGTCACACCCTTAATTTGATCAAAGTTTTGCTGCCATTGTATGTAGCAATCCAATGACATGTTAGACCAGCTCAGCAAAGTGACTCAATCATAGGATTAATTCTTTGTTGGGGGCTTCCTAATACATTTATACAAAATTCTGAATATCACCTACATTTAATGTTCAACGTGTACTTTTCTTGATATTTTGGAGACAGAATCATGACTTCATTACTTGGGCACAAAAATTGTTGTTTTCGACAAGTGGGTAAACCAGTACTAAATAACAGTAGTGTATGTCATTCTGTCCTAAATACCTTTTGTTATCTTCAAATTAATCTCAAACTAAACCAGTTCAGGATTTCAATGACAATAATATAGAGAGACAACTACTTCTTGGTATTTCAGTTTGATCCTGTCAAAATCTGGTTTAACTCCTTCAAAACGCATTCCACCCAGTTCATTGCAGAAGGCATTTAACTGTTTCGTAAACTGTCCTTGTTATTTGTCTTCACATCAAAAGTGCGGTGGGTAGCAACTGGAAGCAGGATAGTATGATCAACCATTTTGAAGCTGCCAATAGGTCTAGAAGAATGAGGAGGTATTGTCGACCACGATCATGGTTGCAAAGAATGTCATCCACGCCTTTAATGAAGGTAATTTATTGTCTGAAGTGGGGACAGCAACTTGGAGGACTCAGATATTGAATTGTGTGCAGGATGGGACTCAAACCTTGGTGGAGACAATCTGCAGATCTTTGCCATGGGGTACACATACAGCCAGATTCACGCAAACTTTGCTCCAACCATGGATCAACTACTGTCATTTAGAGATAGTAGGATACAGAGAATTTCTGAAGAAGGGTCCTGACCCGAAACGTCAGCTTTCTTGCTCCTCTGATGCTGCTTGGCCTGCTGTGCTCATTCACCTTGTTCTACACCTTGTTATCTCTACTGTCATTTAGTACTGGTTTACCCACTTGTCTAAAACAACAATTTTTGTGCCCCCAGTAATGAAGTCATGACTCTGTCTCCAAAACACCAAGTACACATTGAACATTAAATGTAGATGGCATGCAGAATCTTTGTATAAATGTATGAGGAAGCCCTCAACAAAGAATTAATCCCATGATTGAGTCACTTTGCTGAGCTGGTCTGACATGTCATTGGATTGCTACATACAATGGCAGGAAAATTTTGATCAAATTAAGGGTGTGATGCCAAGTCTAGTGATGAACACAGGGTAGTGTACTGGTAATATCTGTGGCCTAGTAATCTCGAGAACCTGGCTGTAGGTCAAAGGATTCATAATCCCACTATGGATGGTTGCAGAATTCAAATTTAATCAATAAAGTTGAAATTGAAAGCTAGTCTCAGTAATAGCGACCATAAAGTTATCATTGACTGTCATAAATCTGGTTCACTAATTTCTGCCATCCTTCCCCAGTCTGGCCTACAGGTGACTCCAGATCCACAAATGAAAAGCTCAGTTTGTTGTATAACATTTTTAAAGAGACATATCTTCAGATTGTTCGAAGATTGAATATTTATAATAGTTTCTGGCTCATTAATATTGATCAATCCCTAATCCAACGAGCCAAACTTTCCCAAATGCTCTCTGCTGTTCTCACCCTGAACGCTCAACCTTCTCTAGATTCTAAACCCTCTGTTGCCTTGCCCCTCACCAAACACATCTTGAAATCCACCTGCTCTTGGATTCTAATCTGATCAAACCTTTGACCACCCAACTTCCCTTTTTGAGCCCCATGTTAGTTACTGATCACAATTTCCTCTCCTCATGTGCTTTCACCCTTGTCTTCAAATCTACAGTCATCAACCCTCTCTTCAAAATAACCTCCTTTTGACACCTTTGGTTTTGCCATATACGACCAATCTGATTACCTCCACCAAGGTTTGTGTCCCATCTTGTACACAATTCAATATCTGAATCCCTCCAAGTTTCTGTCCCATCATCAAAGCCCAGATGACCTTGTTTGCAATTGTGATTGTGGTAGACAATACCTCCTCATTCTTCTAGACCTGTTAGCAGCTTTGAAATGGTTGACCATACCATTCTCTTTCAACCCTGTCCTGCTGAGTAGAACTATCCTTACTTGGTTCCATTCTTACCAATTCAATCATAGAGAGCAGTCTGGAGGACCCCTTTCACCCTCTTCAGTTTCTTATCTACACGTTGCCCCTTGGCAATATCAGGAAATACATCACATCCAAGCGCACAGTGAGACTGTGTTTTGTCTCACCAATATTTCTCTCGATCCGTCCAGCATCTAATTTGTTGTACTATTTATCTGACAGCATTGGGAATACTCCAAATTACCTGAAGACTGAGGTCATTGACTTTTGTCCCTGTCACTACCTCTATTAACTGGCTACTGTTTCATAACCTGGCAACTGTCTAAGCTGAGCTGGACTCTTTGCAACTTTGATATCGAGCACTAGTCATAGCCATTCCATCATCAAATCTCCTATTTCCACCACAATAACATTGACCGACTAACCGTCCCAGCTTGTGTTTTGTTGAAGTCTTCATCTTTGCCATTGTTATCTCTAGGCTTGACTGTTTGAATGATTTTGCACCCTATGTAAACTTGAACCCATCCCAAACTCTGCTGTTCACATCTTGTGACATGCCTCCTTCAGGCTTTTCCTCTGTGCTTGCTTGTGCTCACTCCCAACATGATAAAGCAGCAATGCTAAAATCCTCACCCTTTTTTTATATTGCTCCATGGCCTGAGGCAAACCAATTTCAGTAACCCTTTAGCCCTACAAACCTTTGAAATATATGCACCCCTCCAATTATGGCCTTGTGCACATTCTCAATTATAATCACAGTAGTATTGGTAGCCAAAGCTTCTTCTAAGCTCTGAAAACTAAAATTATACTTCTCCATGTTCCTTATATCTATCTGCGATCAGTCTTATGGTAATTTGCCTTATTGTCTCCTTAGGGACATAAGAACATAAGAAATGGGAGCAGGAGTAGGCTGCCATTCAATAAGATCATGGCTGATCTTTTCACAGACTCAGCTCCACTTAGCCGCCTGCTCACCATAACCCTTAATTTCTTTACTGTTGAAAAATCTATCTTTGCCTTAGAAACATTTAATGAGGTAGCCTCAACTGTTTCACTGGGCAGGGATTTCCACAAATTCACAACTCTTTGGGTGAAGAAGTTCCTCTTCAACTCAGTCCTAAATCTGCTCCCCCTTATTTTGAGGCAATGCCCCTTATTTCTAGATTCACCCGCCAGTGGAAACAATCTCCCTGCTTCTATCTTATCTATTCCCTTCATAATTGTATATGTTTCTATAAGATCCCTCCTCATTCTTCTAAATTCCAATGAGTACAGTCTCAATCTCTCCTCAGAAGTCAACCCTCTCAATTCTGGAATCAACCTAGTGAATCTCCTCTGCAGCCCCTCCAGGGCTAGTACATCCTTTCTCAAGTAAGGAGACCAAAACTGTACACTACTCCAGGTGTGGCCTCACCGGTACCCTGTACAGCTGCAGCATAATCTCCCTGTTTTTAAACTCCATCCCCCTAGCATTTTTTCTAAGCAGATATGTTATGACACACCTATGGAGCAGGAGGGACTCGAAGCGAGGTCTAAGAGATTGGGACACTACAACGATACCGCAGACAAGGTGGTTTAATGTCTCGTAATGCGTCTTTTCCATTGATATAACACTTATATAGCACATTGAGGTATTTTGTAATGGTACCACGTGATAGGATGTTCTTCAAAAGGAATCCATTTCACTACAGAGGCAGTTAAAGCACGATAATGACATTTAGGTTTTTAAACATCGTCTCAAAATGCCAGTTATCCGTGCTATATTGAATGAAAATGATCCGGGCATTAGATTGCTCGTGTACAATAGTAGTCAGAATGCCACATCACCCTCCCACGGGTCAGTGTATCAGAGTGTACGGCACATGGACAGCTGTGAGGTCCTCCAGTATCTGGGTGAAGTGGTGCGGTTTAATCCTCACTGTCAGAATATAATTTATCCATCAATTATAGAAACAACATTTTTCAATGTTAATTATTAACCAGCTTTTTTTGAGGTGGGGTGGAATGGGATAGGATAACTCACTTGGAATATTAGAAACTCATAGGGAGTTTCACGGAACCACACCTTCGATCAGAGAAAGAGGTAGTCTTGCCGATTTAAAATACGAGAGAGCGATACAGTTTGGAAAATTAAAACACAAAAGACAGCGAGAAAAATGTCTTAGATTTAAAATTCGACAGAGAGAGGAGGCAGTGTTGCAGAATTGCAACCTGACAAGGAGAG